CCCGCCCAGGTACCGAGGTACGTACACAGGTACTGGTCGCTGTAATTAGGGGCGAAACTAGGGGCGCACAAACTTTCCTTCTCCAGCGTGGCAGCGTATTCTTCGCACCTTAGGAAACGACTGGGCCTAGCCCAAGTAGTAATTAGCAGGGTTGTTTTCTCGTGGATTATTAGTCCCTAAAAAGGAAAAAAAATAATGCATATCCACGCAACATGCACGGATCGAGGAGTTAGCGGCGATTCAGGACCATCACGATTCAAGGGCGGGTGAGGCCGGATGTGCTTTTTCTGTCTGAAGCTCATCTGTGTAAAGCTAAGGCAGAAAAATTGAAAAGAAGGCTTGGTTTTGATGAATTTGCTGTGGCGGAAAGTGATGGAAGAAGTGGGGGTCTTGTGATGTTTTGGTATTCGGGATTGGGAGTAACATCATATGAGGTGCAACATAACTACATCGACATCCGAATAAATGAAGCAAATGCTAATGGTTGGCGTTTCACGGGTTTCTATGGTGAACCAAGCGGGGATAGAAAACACTTGTCTTGGGAATATCTGAGAGAGCTACATGGAATGAGGAACTTGCCCTGGGCGGGTGATTTCAATGAAATTCTTCAAGTAAATGAAAAAGAGGGTGGTGCTGTACCAACCCAAAGGAGCATGCAGTTGTTCAGTGAGGCACTTTCTGATTGCGGCCTAGACGATCTTGGGTGCGCGGGTGATTTGTTTACATGGCGTCGAGGTCAGTTACGCGAGCGTTTGGACCGCGCAGTGGGAAATATGTTGTGGGCAGACTTGTTCCCAGGGGTTGTCGTGTTTAATGAGGACTTTGATAAGTCAGACCATCGTCCAGTTTTGATTGATACTGATTACCAACCGGCGATCCAGCCTAGGGGTCCTTCCGGAACACGCAAATTTGAGGCACGGTGGTTAGCAGAGGAAGATATTCAAACTGTAGTCCAAACGGCTTGGGATAAATGTAAGCAGATTGGTGTTGTTCCACTAGCGGACAGCACGGCTGAGGTTCACAGGGCGTTGCACCGCTGGGATAAGGACGTCCTCAAGGGGCCCCGCAATAAACTCCGAGAGCTTCAGAAGGAATTGAACGAAGTTCTTTCTGGCCCTTTGTCTGATGAGGCCGTGGTTAGGCAGCATGATTTACATATGCAAATTGAGAAGCTTCTGGAACAGGAGGAAATATATTGGCTCCAACGGGGTAGAGCAGACTGGCTCACTCGAGGAGACCGGAATTCAGAATTTTTTCACAGGGCTGCTAATGGTCGTCGGAAGAAAAATTACATCAAACGTATACAACGAGAGAATGGTGATTGGATAGATGATCAGGAGGATATTAGAGCGTATGCAGCGACTTATTTTTCCTCTCTTTTTACTTCAGGTCAGCAAGCTCCGAATTTGAAT